GGTCAGGGTGGGATGTCTCCTAACCACATCTCTTAAGCCTCTTTGAATCCTGAACCACATCAGATGATTATAATGAAGGTCTACTCCAACAATATTGGAAACCTGATTGAATAGATCAAAATTTCAAGGGGGGGGGAAAGAAATACAAAACAGATTGTTGTTTTTGTTGTTGTTGTTGTTTGTTTTTTTAATTTTTTTTTAAGATTTTACTTATTTATTTATTTGAGAGAGAGAAACAGCATGAGAGGGGAGAGGGTCAGAGGGAAAAGCAGGCTCCTCGCTGAGCAGGGAGCCCAATGTGGGATTCGATCCCGGGACTCCGGGATCATGACCTGAGCCGAAGGCAGTCGCCCAACCAAAACAGATTGTTGTTTACGTCAGGAAGAACATACTGCCTTTGCACAAGCAACACAGGAAAAGCAACTAGGTGTTACATTAATGAAAATCAGAACAATCCTGAGAACTGATTGCTTTGTAGTCCCCAACATTTGGAAACTAGGCCAGGTGTTTAAAAAAAAAAAAAAAACAGATAAATAAAATATAGTTGAATGCAGCAAGGTCAGGAAGAAGAAAGATTGAAGATGAGTAGCTTTTCAGATATATAATGTAAAGGGGGAAAAAATGAGGTTACAAGGTATTATATTTATACTTCCAATTAAAAATAAAAAAATTTTTTTAAGTTTTTAAAGAAATGTATGAACCAAGGAGGTGCATACAAGGATCAGCCAGCAGCTTTGTATCACAAAATAAATACACAGATATATTCGGATATCTATCTATATATGTGTGTGTGTATATATATATATATATATATATACACACACACACACACAGATACATTCTGATAAATACAAAATAAATACACAGGTCTATTTGGATATATATATATATTATATATAATATATATACACACACACACATAAATCTCCAGGAAAAATATCATTGTCTGGAAATCTGATAATAGAGAAGTATAAAGACTCAGAGACTTCTAAGGTTTTATATTTTTATTTGATTTTTAAAAATTCAATTATATTCTGTTGCAAGGGGCACCTTATCATAAGAGTTTGAAAGGAAAACACTGAATTATGAAAGAAGCATTAAGGAACAATAACTCAAGACGAAGTAGAAATCATGTGGATTATTCATTTTAGGAGGACACCTCACGGCTACTGGCTAGTCTGAGAGTTGCTGTGCAAGTCATAAATTCCCAGAGACTGAGGGAGAGTAACTGAATTAACCGTCTATTAATCAGAAAGGAAAAGGAAGCCCTGGTAATTAAGTAGCTGTCACCTGCACGTCAATACTCAGAAAGCCGAAGTGCAAACCATCAAACAATCAATTTGTAATCACAGAGAACTGAGAACAGAGCTCTGAGAACAGAAAGACTGACACAACACGCCTTTCAGAGAACAATTTTGTTTCATGATGAAGTGACAGGAGGGGCAGATAAGAGGGACTTTGAGAGAGAGAGACTGCATGGAATTCGGTAATACATTTTCATCTTAAACCAGAAATTCTTTGAACTGTTGATCCCAATGTGGCCGCAGAGTACAGGGCATGCATGCTGTCTTTGAAATCATTTGAATTAAAGTAGATGTTTTGTTTCACAAATTAAACACTCCTTATATACTACAGATACTTGAGATGTTTTCAGCTACAATCACAAAGGAATTCCACCTCTTTTGATGAGCACAAAGGTAATTTCACCCAATTTTATAGGACTGTCATAATATTGAAACAATCAGTATGGCTCTCCTATTCTTTGAGACAGCACGTCTGTGCACATAAATGATCTTATCAATCATCTCCTAAAAAAATGCCTTCAGGAGAAGAAGTCTTGCCAAAATAATCACTTTGCTCTTACAATGAATGATAGACTCAGTCTTGGCCACCAATTTATCCTATTGATGTGGCATAATTTCTCTAGGATGAATCTGATGAGTATTATAATCCACCATAAGAAAGGAAAAACTATCATCCCCAAATGTAGTATACATTCACTTGATACTCATTTCTTCACAATGTGATGGCATTATTTATCTCAACTAAGTGCAGATCTCTGAAATGAATGTTTTATTTGAGGATCATAGTGCTTTTGAACAGTGATCACTGCTATGCCTCCTTTTTTCTTTAGGAGAAAGTAGCTAATAATTCAAGATTGCAACATTCATCAGGACTTGACTTTAGGTTGAAGACTTCTTACACAAACTCACTAGTTCAGTATTTACCCATACCCATTACTGCTTTGATAAAACTATATCACAAAATTACTACGAAAATCCAAGTTAGCTAGAAATTCTATGTAAAAATAGCACTTTCACTTCAAAAAAAACATTATAAAAAGAAGAAAACAATAACATCCCATAATTCTAACATCACTGCAACATCTGTTCTCCTTAATCATAAATACAGTGCAAATAAAAAAAAAAAACCCCAGTACTTCTTAAGTATATTAGCAGTTTCCATGTAACTGTCCAAAAATATTCTATGCAGAGCCAATATTGCTTTTTTTTTATTTATTCAGATCTGCTGGTAAAATATGTAATATCTTAGTTTTAACTATTTTTAATTTAATAATTATTTGAAATTATTCCACATTAGCAGATAAAAATATGCACAGTTTTTGACAAACGCATAATATTCCATGGTGAAGGCACCACACTTAACCAGATGTGATGGATATTTAGGTTTTAGCACTGACTTTGCACTGAAGGGAAAAAAAGTCCTGCTGTGTGTTTATGTCAAGAATTGGCTGAGCCACAAATAAAAATACAATTCAAATAATATAGTTTTTTTTTTAAAAAAAGTCAAGCATACAAGAGAGTTTTCTCAAGATCAAATAGAAAAGAGATACCGCCCAATCAGCTTGCTTTGGAGCACGAGGGAGTCAAGTTTTGGGAGAATTAAATGAGATAATGCTTGCAAAACCTTGGCTGACTGCCAGAAAATAATCAGGGCTGAAAAATGTTCATTTTGGAAGTTGCCCGGAGATGGCGCTAGAGAGCCAGCGGGTAGTGGAGCCATGATACTGGAACGGACCTGAAGAAATAGTCTCAAGGATGGGAAAATGACAGTTAAGGTGATGAGGTAGAAGGGTTGTTTGAGAGAAGATTAAGGCAAAGTGTAATTGGAAGTGGCCGACAGGAGGCTGGGTGGTACAGCAAAGGGGAGAATAAGCTGGAAGCAAATGAGAATCATGAGAATCCCGCATTTTCTTTATCAGAAATGTGGCTACTTTGCACAGAGAATTCTTGCTAAAGATGAGCTTTTTTTTTTTTTTTTTACTCCTAAACCCTGAATGAGGTCTTAAGAAATACACGATATAGAAGAAAATATATTCTTTGAGTTGAAAATACGATCCCTCCAAATAAAGTCTTCCCAGATCACTGATTTCCCCAAGAGCATTTCCTGTTGTGCAAACTCCAGACCAAACAGTGGAGAGGAGTGGGACAAGCTGACACTAAGGTTCCTGCAGCACTCTAGAATGAGATGACAGAGTGTAATGCAATATACCCCATGTTTTTATATAATATACTAAATCTTTCATTAATCACCCTGGGATTCTCATTAGCCCTTGTGTTAATACACAAAAAGTTCAATTCCAACTTGAACAAACTGAGAGGAGAAAGCAGAAGTCAAAGTATAATTTAATTATTAGATCTAAGTGGCAGAATTTTCAGTGACATGAAGACTAAAAGAACTCAAAGTTCCAGGCATACTATGAGTGCTCGCAAGAAAGGCAAGAAAGGTAAATTTAGAAAATACGTTCTAACATCCAAAGAACATAATGAACAAAGAACACTAGCCATGTCAGCCAAATATTATATTTAAATTTAATTATGTTCCTGTAGTTAATAATTTTTTTCTGCAAAATGTAAGAATCTCTATGAGACACTCAGATATAAACTACAAAATAATCATTTATTGTATCAGGAAATAAGCTTTAACTATAATAAATATGATCACACAGAAATACATAAACAGTTTTTATTATTTAAATGTACTTAATTGGAGTATATGTTTGTCATGGTAAGCTTAATTTGCTAATGACTTCTTTTTTTTGCTAATGGTATTTTAGTCCAACTTATCGCTCTTGTGGTAACTAAACCACCTAGCTTCATGTGGAGTAGGCATGTTTGTAAATCAGAAAGCTTAACACCCTATCTCTCTTTTTGCAGATTGTTCAAAATAAAATACATGAAAACATTCAAGTCCAAATGCAACCCAAGCCAACATTCTATAACAATCACCAGCATTGGAAAAATCAAAAGAGCTATTCCCAACCAGTTATTATTGACCACTGTTATATATTACGGAGGGAGAATTTAGGACTTTCTCAAGATCAGGAGATTATTTCAGAGTACGATCAGTCATAGGGAGCAAAGGAAAAGAAAATGTCAAAGAAATTCTAGACAATGAGGGAAAAAATGGTAAAAAAATTTCACTCCTGAGCTTGAGAACAATTGACAACACACAAATAAATAATGCTTCAAACAGACACACATGGACGTACCCCCACTCTAACATAGATACTCACATGCACACACACACATACACAAAGAGACAATTGTAGGACGGACATATTAACACTGCTGAGACTCATATTCATAGATCCATGAATCTTTGCACAGGTATTCACATTTCACTGAATTTCTTCACTTTCTAAAACTCAATAAAGCTAAATGAAAAAAGTAAGATACTTGATAAACAAGACAGACTGGACAGAAGGTAAATAATACTTAACGAAAAAGTGGATTGTTGGTAGGTCTGAGATAGGTAGAAAGGGAGAGAGAATGTTCAAACACCACAGAATTGTTATCACACTTCTAAAATGTCAAAAAGGACCAAATCTATTTCTAACAAACTAAAGAGACGAAACTGATGTAAACTCTAACCTGTGGGGCCAAGTTAAAACTGAAGTGGTCCATTCAAGACCTAGGAAAAGAAAGCAAAAATGAAAAGAGCCATGATATTTTCACAGACCACTACACATAAAATACCTTTTTACTATATCTTCCCCATTCCAGCACGGCAGCCCATCAGCAGCGGCTAATTCGTTAACACAAAGCTCATCAGCCAGGCCTCCATAGAACGTCCTGTATAGTCGAAGACTGTTGATAAATTCTCTGAATGGGAAAACAAAGAAAACAATTAAAACCAAAAATCCATAATAAATGCCAATATAAATGGCGTAATTTGTTATGCATGATATACAGAATGCACCTTTTTTTATTTTCACTGCTTATTTTTTATATATTCTCAATACTTTTCTAACAATCAAGATAAATACTGTATTTTTTTTTTAAAAGAATGCTAGTATTCAAATTTACTCTTTGTTGTTGTTGTTGTTGTTTTTAAAGATTTTATTTATTTATTTGACAGAGAGAGACACAGCAAGAGAGGGAACACAAGCAGGGGGAGTGGGAGAGGGAGAAGCAGGCTTCCCCCGGAGCAGGGAGCCCAATGCGGGGCTCGATCCCAGGATCTTGGGATCACAACCCGAGCTGAAGGCAGACGCCCAACCGACTGAGCCATCCAGGTGCCCCAAATTTACTCTTTTGAATCCAAGTTTTCACAGGGTATGAATTTTATATAACTCAGTCCAAGAAGTTGTGAAGAGTACACACACACACACATGCATCCCACTTTATCTAAGTATCCCTAAAAGCCTTTACTAAGTGTGCCATCTAAATCACAGTGATACTAACTACTTACTTTCCCATACAGAAATGTCAGAAATTGATTAACAAGCTAATCAATTGCTTACTGATTAAAAGTTTATTAAACTTGGGTGGTTTTCCTATTTGGGACTTCTCTTTGGTGTTTAACAACATAAAATAGTATGTCTTCACTGATGTGGGAAACAGAGGCAGAAGAAAAATTATTAAATTTCCTTACTACCTACAGCCCATTGACAAGTCCTTGAAACAGGCAGAGTGACATTCCTCTAGGGACTCAATTGCCTCCATGTTAATACTTTGCTAAGGGCAACAGGCTTATCTTAGCCTGACCCTAAAAATTCCTTTGGAAATTTCCTATATCTCTACCCCCCAAGATACATGTTGGCAATCATCCCCCAAGCATATGATATACATCTGAAGGGTCTCATGACTCAGATTTTATTAGACAGTAATAAATGGCACTTTCCCAACAGCTAAGCCCCCTGAAGTTCCTGGAAACCTTGCTTCCAAAATACCTGGGAGACTTACATGCTATCCCCAATTCCCTCCCAACTTGAAAGTACATAATGGGCCACTTCTCATGAACCCCGTGCAGCTCTTTCTGCCCATGGGTCCTGTCCCCATGCTTTAATAAAACCATCTTTTTGCACCAAAGGCATCTCAATAATTCTTTCTTGGCCATCAGCTTTAAACCCTAACGTTTCTCCTACATCATTCACTAAATACAAAAAACCCCAAATACATAATACGTTTCAAAAGCATGAAAATAAAAGTTGTTGGAAGGAATATTATTTAATACGTTGACTTTTTTTTTCCCCCTCTCATACTACATCTCTTTCCCCCATTAATTACCGGAAGGGAAAATTCAACAAAAAAGTAGTTTGCTTTTTAACTTAAAAAGCCAAAACTTTCAAGTTTTAAAATCAAAGTTTTGAGGTCCTAAGAACCTGAATTTTAGCATTTCAGAAAACCAAGTCCTAAAAACTATACTTCTGAACTTTTTAAACATAAACTAAAGTTTTGGACAATGAAATGAAAAGCCACTAACTTAATACAGAAGACATGTCCTCTGGACCAGAATACAGGAACAGGAGAAAGAAAGCAAACCGGAAATCCATAGGTTGAGTAGTTAAAATGCAGCAATTATAAAATTGCATCCCCCACTGATATTTTAAAAATACCTGCTTTAAAAATGAGATCAAAGAGGAGGGTGGCTCTAAATTATAGCTGAAATGAGCAAATTTAAAAAAAAATTAAATCCGATTTTGACAGCACTGACGCCCAACTGTATTAATTTTAAAATTCTCTCTCTTAGCGGTTTCCAAAGAGCTCTTTGTGTAAATGGCTGGAGTTATAAGTAACTACCAATCTACAGGAAGGATAAATGTCATTTTCAGATATGTAACATCCGAAATCAGAGAGATCAGAAGTTCCCACAGCAAATGTTTGGTGAGTATTTAACCAAACTTTTAGCAAAGCTTGATCAGACATGTAATAACAACATGACTGCAGGAAGTATAAATCTGACTTCTAACTTATACTCAATTCCCCCAATAAAGTATGCTGTATTTTCTCACGAGCATAGTAACCACTCATTTATACTTATTTATACTTTTTTTTAGGGGGAGAGGCAGAGGGAGAGGGAGAGGGAGAGAAAGACTCTTAAACAGGCTCCATGACCAGCACAGTGCCCAACACCGGGCTTGATCTTAAGCCCCTAAGATCACGACCTGAGCCAAAATCAAGAGTCAGATGGCTTAATCGGGTGCCCCTATACTTATTTATATTTTAAGTTGGTTTCCTCTACTAGAAAATAAGTCCCCCTTCCCACCCCATGAGGGCCATATTCCTACTAACTGGAATGCATGAACAAATACCAATTCTGATGTTGCAGCTACTAAAACATAATGGATGAAGCCAAATGATTCTCTCCTAGAGGGGTGGGGTTTAATAAATGGAAAGATGCGTGACTCCTGTCCTGAATTCTGTTTACTATAAATGATCACCTATTCGGAATCAAAGAGCCTTCTAGAAATGAAGAGCCCTGGCACAAATGACTGGAACGTTGAGATCTCCAAATTGATGAGATACAACTGAATTGATATTTCTTAGGGACCCCAAACCTCTTCCTCCAATCTCAGTGAATGGTGCCTTCACAGCCAGTAGATCATACTGGGAAAAGCTTTACATCTTTCTTGCCTAGTCCTCTTTCCCCGTGCTACTCTCTTTGCCTTCGGTGAAGCCCTTATCATCTCTCTGGAATTACTGCACTCTAATCTCTTCCTTGACAATCACCTCTCAACCTCCAAGAAATCCACCTCTTAAAATTCAAATGTGATATCCCCCAGACTATGTCATTCATTTGCTTAAAGCCATCAATGGCTCTCTCTTCTCTACAGGAGAAAATCTAAATTTCTTGGAAAGGCATATAAGGCACCCTCTCTCACCTCCATTTCAGCAGCAAAGCAAACCAAACTTTAGGCTTCCACAAAAGTGAGAGACTTACTGTTCCCCAAACATAACTTCAGGCCTCTGCATGAGTTCCCTCTGAAAGCATCATATCCTAGAAGATTTTCATTCACTCTATAAAGCAGCTATAACTTTACTCTATAAAGTTACTTGTCACAAACTACTAAACACTATTGAGTACCAAGCTCCGTGTTGGCATTATAGCTAAATAAGACAGTCCCTACCTTCTTTTTTTTTTTTTTTAAAGATTTTATTTATTTATTTGACAGAGAGAGACACAGCGAGAGAGGGAACAGAGCAGGGGGAGAGGGAGAGGGAGAAGCAGGCTTCCCGCGGAGCAGGGAGCCTGACGTGAGGCTTGATCCCAGGACCCTGGGACCATGACCTGAGCCGAAGGCAGACGCTTAACGACTGAGCCACCCAGGCGCCCCAAGACAGTCCCTACCTTCTAAGAATGCACTTTCTGGTGAAAATCTACAATAATAACACAGAGTTAATAGTGCCGCATTTGAGGACAGAGAAGGAATCAGGAAATATGTACAAACAAGATACTACTTCAGTATTTCATGCAAAAAAAAAAACCAAACAAACAAAAAACAATAAGCAAATGTAAAGAGGAAAGAGAATATTGTATATTCAGAGAGTCATATGCAGTTTAGCAAGTGGGGAGTGGGCTTATGGGAATTATAGTTAAAAGGCAGGAAGACGCCAGTTTGTAATCAGCCTTATTGATCACAAAAAAACTGTTTCAGTTTTCTTCAGAAGGCAGTGGGAGCCATTAAAAGTTTTCCAGCAAGCAAGTGATGGCCTCCAGACGGTATTGTGGAAATAGGTAGAAAGTCAGTGAGGTCACTTAGCGGGCTATAACCAAGACTCAGGGGGAGGAAATATGAGGATGAGAAAAAAACACCTGTCAGTGAGCATCATGAAAAGTGTTAGATTTGAAAGACATTAGGAATCTAGAATTGACAGTAAAAGTAAAAGTTTTAATATAACTCCTAACTGTCTTTCTCACCCCCCTAAGGTGACTGAGGGGATGATTATCTCAGTGCTATTCACTGAGACAAGAAATAAAGGAAGGGAAACACAAGTCTTTCAATGTCCCACACTACACTTAGGATTGCTCTTCTCCTGTTCAATATTTTCATCTTTCCATGGCACATATCACTGTCTATTCTAGCATGTCATGTACTTACTTATTATGTTTTATTGTTTCTTATCTGTCTCCCATGCTAGAAGAAAAGATTCAGGCAGGCAGGGCCTTTTTTTTTTTTTTTTTTTGGTTTTACTCACCAATATAGATCTTAAAGCTGTGAAGGCATATAGTAAGCTCAATAATTAGTAATTAAATTAATAAATGGGTTAAAACTAATTAATAATTAAGTCTATGCTATGTTCAGTTTGCGATTTCTTTGGAACATACAGAAAGAGAAATCATGTAAAATGCTACTTTCAGACCTACTATGTGTAACATCATCCGGGGATCTTGCCAAAATGCAGACTCAATAGTCCTGGGGTAGAGCCCAAGATTCTACATTTCAATGAAGCACTCAGATGATGCTGCAGCTACTGGTACAAGAACCATGAATACCATGGATGTTTGCTGTTGGATATGTAACCTTGGAATCAGGGGACTGGGTGTGTGATGTGAGTCATTATCTCCAGAGGTGGTGACTGATGTCATGAATGTGGATGAAATCTCTCAGGCAAATAACAGGTAGTAAGAAAAAGTCAAAGGAACTCTGAAGTACATTGAGCAAAGGAAGAAAATCTTCAATGATAAGAGCTGTGAACATTAAAGAATAAGGGAATTTGAACCTAGAGAGATTCCCCACAGTGTAAAATGCCATTATGAGAGGTTACTTAAAATAATGAAAATGTCCTTTATATGTGGTCCCTCAAAAATTCGTATGTTGAGACAAGGCCTTTAAAAGGTAAATAGGCTCAAATAAGGTCATATGGGTAGATCCTAATTC